TACCTGCCTACTCCTCGCACCCTCGCCCGGCGCTATAGTAACAACACAGGGAAACATAGGGAAATCAATATGGCTTCCGTTGCCCTCATCCCTCTCGCGCGCGGCCCTCGCAGCCGCCGTCTCTCGCTCTCGTCCGATTCTCTTTCTCCTCTCTCGCTACCATGGAATTACATCTCTCCCTCGGTCTCCCTCGCTTCATCCATCTCTGTTTAGCCTTCCCTTTCTCTCTTTCTTTCTTTCCTTTTAGCCTTCTCTCTTTCTCTCTGGCACTCGACGCGGACGGGTGAACCCATTATAAGGGGGTGTTACTCCGGGCCAATCCCCAACCATCCGGAGAGAGAAACCAGAGAGGCGAGAGTCCAAGAAGGGCGCATGTGCGTTGCTAGGGCCACCGGATGGGTCGCGCGATGCGAGGCGATGCGATGCGATGCGATGCGATGCGATGCGATGCGACGCGATGCGATGCGACGCGACGCGATGCGACGCAATATGATGCCGCGCGTAACGTCCGCCCGGTATATGTACCAGACACTTAACAACGAAATACTTGACAGCACATCCAAGAAACAAATACGATACGTATAATTTACAAGCGGATATAAACAATAAATTTTCTCCAGATTTTCTACACGAACCGCCAAAAATATATCTCCTGAGCGACAAAATAATTAACAATATATATTTTGTTTACATCATGCATTAACATCTTTGTAATTAAAATCATAATTGTAAACTTGTACACTTCGATCTGTTTATATAATTTTATAATTGTCTTAAGAAATCGCATAAATGTAAAGTTTTAGAAAATAAAATATATTGCTAATTAAATACGTCATATTATTATCAATATACTAGAATTAAGATCATTAATTTAAATTTCTTTTTATATATGATGGAATACAATGTATGGTATAATGAGATATATATTTTATCTTACACAGCACAAACAGAACGTTCCAATTTGTAACATTGCTGCAATATTGCCAAAATGTTTTTATTCTATATGAAATAAAAAACAAAATAAAATAATCGTAATTATTATCACATACATATGTATAATTCGAATATTTGCGCATGTATATCAATATAAAATTTTAAATTAAAATCACCTCTCAACACCTTTCTCTAAAAAAAAAAATCCCGAAATCTTTCAGAAGAGTTCAATGTATCAAGGGGAGCTCTCTGGTGGCATATCACGACATTCGAACACGGATTTGTATGTCGGTAATACAGTATTCTACAGAAACATTCTAGTAGAAATGTATTCTCTTACAAGCATGCCGAAAGTTCCATAATAATGTTGCAGTTTTCTATTATAAATATTAAACATTCTTAGAGATATACAACAATACTAATAATGTACCTAGAGAATAAATATATTTGTTCTATATACATTATTAACTTTTCACCGTGTATACATATATCATGCAAAATATTTAATATTTATAATAAATAATAATAAACAATATATTAATATAAACCGAGTAGATGTTAATAAAAAAACAATAACAATTGAAAGAAAAAAACCAATTTTTCGGAAGCAGGATCTTAGGTCCTAAATTATATGAAATAAATTCAAATAATTACATCATCAATCATGTGTCATTATTTTTAGTAGTTTACAATGACAGACATAATGATTCTACAACATTCGGTAATCAAATATTTTTGATATCAATGAAAACTTTCCTTTATTATCCCTCCCACGGAAAATATATAAAATAGTGGCACGTGGTTGATGACATGAATTATTTAAATTTATTTTATATAGATATTTAACATCTAAGATCCTTACGAAAAATAATAATAAATCAATAATATAAGAAATAATAATAAATCAAGAAATTATTCTAAATATCAATTATCACATTGTTTCTCAAAAAATATGCATTTGCATATTATATAATTTTTTGTAACAAACATATATTTTTCTTCAAGCAACTATATAATTTTCTTCTCTACCAATTGCTTTGTTTCATTATTCTCTATGAAAAAATATTATAAAGTGCGATTATAAAAATAATTTACAATATATTTTGTATTTCAAAATGTGTCAAAATAAAATATCTCATAAATTATTACTTTTTAATAAGAACATTTTTATATCTAGAATATACAGAATATATCTAAAATAATATATATACAATTTATTGAAATCTTTTGTGTGTGTGTGTGTGTGTGTGTGTGTGTGTGTGTGTGTGTGTATGCGTGCGCGCGCGCGTGCGCGTGCATGTGTTGTATGATTTCATTAAAGGATGCTTAAAAAAATATCGATATTAATTCTCACATTAACTGGTTGAAATATCTATAAATAAACTAATGCCATAATCATACGGCCTCCTCAAAACCTACTCTATAACTTTTGTCTGAAATATATTTTTGTAAAATGACTTCCTGCGATACTTGATTGTTAAGATAAAAAATGAGATATTCTGTATATGCATAAAAAAGCTTAAATCATTTTTGTAAAAGCAATTACAATAGAGAAAAAAAAACTTTTATCTTGTGTTTCGGAGCAAAATGATGGTCTACGTCGCTACTACAGTTCGCAAGAAATCCCAACTGATTTCAAGCAGTCCACCCCATATTCTTTCAACCAAGTCAGCTCGTTCTCTAGAAATCCACGAACACTCAGTCAATGTAGATTGCCGCGCAACAATCGCAGGAGAAATTAAAGATCCCGTTCGAAACCGATGACAGTCATATAATCTAATAAAGGTGTGCGCATGTGTTTGCCTCTTGTCTTTCAATTAGCCGATTCGGAGTATCCTCGGATTGGGCCCATTATATTTCCGAAAACATCATCCGCCGCTACTTTTCAACACTTCCACTTGTGCGAAACACACGTCCTGTATGGTCTCGTCTCATCGCGTCAGCACACCACACGGGAGAAATATTAAATGTTTTTAAAGTTTTAGCCCACTCTAAATCCAAGGGGGTAGATCCGGGAAGACTAATATCGTGACTCGTCGTTGTCCAGTGTTTTCCATAATATCGTGAGTTTCTTGTATGTCGTGAGAGTGATTTTTTCATTCCCGTTCGAAAGTTCTTATAACCCCCTTTTTTCCATGCAACGTTAATATACAACAAGGGGATAATTTGGATTTTTCCTCCCTCTTCTTCTAGAGAGGGCAATCCCGTTATAGGACAACCAACGTACGATTTATCTTTTTAATCATAGTGGTTTTTTCTTCTACTTCTTCAGAGTCTTTTGAGGAATTCTGCATTAATTTTATTCCCTATTTTGACCCTATATATATACACACATATATATATATATATATATACATCACATATATTATAAATTACTTTGTGACACGTAAATCCGTAGTATATACACATTAGCAATATTACGAAGACGGAAAAGCCCTGTATGGAAAGTTAAGATCCATCCTCAAATATCCTCCTCCATGTTCTTGAGAGAATACGATGAATTATGTGGTAATATTTATTGTTCAGAAACCTCCACACACACAACCACACAACTCACTCTCTCTTCCTCGAAGAAACATAAGCCTTCTTCTTCTTTCCTTCCACCACTACACACATTGCATAGGATCGATGATGAGGAGAAGGGGGAGCGGGCGTTTTAATATTATTTTTATTATTTATAAACGTTACAACACATTAAAGTGCCTCCCACCACGACGTCTTCTCGCGTCAACCTTTCATAAAACTTCGGAGAGTGTCTGGAATCCATGAGAATGAGGCATTTAGCTGAAGTAACGGTAAGTGAAAACGTTGCCGTCAAATTCTGGATGACGAGACCTAGATTCGTGGAAGTACAAATTAATGCGAGATAACTGCGGGCATCTCTTGATAATAATTAATGGTGGCCATCATCCATGACGATCCCTGAGTAGCACCGGACCATCTGATTAAGATACATTTTCATACGCCTTATAAAGAGAACGATGACTAAATAAGCGCTCGCGAGAAAGCTCGGCCTAGCATATCTACGAAAGCACGTTATCTCGAACACATCTCGACTTGCGTCAAAAGCTTAAATAAAATGTAACATCAAAATAATTTATATCTAAATTATGCAAAGTATGATAAAATCAGGATGATGAAATTATAATAAAAATTGAACATTTAAATGCTAACCATTCAATACAATAATATCCTAGCGGTATTTCAAGTAAATAAATTTACGAGAAAAAAGATTGACAACAAGAGAATTTGCGGTTACCCCGAGTATTATTTATCGACATCATGTCGTATGGTAACAAATATCGTTTATTACCGAATAGAATTTAATATCAAGATTATAATTATTATTACAAATATGTAGAAGCGTTTCGCAAATATTTTAATAATGAAATTTTTATAATGTGTAAGAAAAATTATTGATAAGATGAAAAAGTGTCGCAGTTGGTAAAGTAAATTTCGTCGGTTGATCAAGATGCTGCCAGCAACCTGACTGTAGAGAACAACGTTGTATGTACCACTGGTCCAGCTGATAAGCTGCTGATACCAAAAGGGAATGGCCTTATCAACCTCGTCGGTAAAGAAGATTTCTTAAAATTACACCATGGTCAGAAACGATAGATTCACATTTCAAGAGGAAAAAAAAACTTCTAAACGCCTAAGCTTTCGATAATTCTGCTATCCCAAGTTTGTAATTTTATATGAGAATCTTAAATTTATTCTCCAATTATATTCTTCAAATTTTTATTTTTGATTAATATTTCTTTTAATATTTCTCAAACTTCTAATTTTTTAAGAATCAAATAAATCATAAAATACAATTGCAAGGCTTTTATCTACACATCTCTTTAATTAATTTATAATCGTCTATATTAATTTCGCATCCTTATAATATTATAATATTTAAATCCTTATAATATTATAATATTTAAAATTAAATGCTTTTGCCGATAAAAATACAGTATAGTATTATCGAATTAATGCTTCCCACTTGTGTTTCAAAACGTTAGAAGGTCGTGTTTATCATGATTTATGTACAGGATAAGCAGGATATACAAGCAAGACACTTTCAGTTGACGGTTGACATCGTAACGGTTCACGACGATTAAAGTGGCTTTATTACTTTAATTATAATTCAGGTAATATCAAGGCAAAAGTGAAATCTCATTGTAAAAAATAGTAATACATAATCGTAAAAATAGTAATACATAATAATAGTAATACATAATATTTAATAATATTCTCAAGAAAAGATTAAGAGATAACGTGATAACGAAACAGCTTCTATCTCGAATATATATCGGATTCTAAAATTAAATTTTTTTGCCAATATACGTTGGCACTCTCTCGCAGAAAACGTCCCGTGTGTTCCTACAATTATTTAAACAAAAAAACTTGTGAAACCTTTGACAAGTGCATAGAATGAGAATTCCTTAATTTCCGTATTATTACATTCAATTTTTTTTTTAACTATGTTGTGAACAACGGGAATGTGAAGATGCTGATAGAGCAAAAAATGTGTGAAACGTCGATGATTAGAGGTCGCTTTAACTATGTGGGAATTAATCTTAATCTAAATATCTCGTACTCTAATTATGATATTGTCGTGACAGTCGATCTCGATCGAGGGCATTCGCTATCAGGAAGCAGACCGAGGACAAGACTGAGCAAGAATGGCATTGACGTTGGCACTACCATTATTCGGCTTGGATCCAGAGCACTTTTCCACTCTGAGCATGAAGCTTCTTAATATCGAACGGGAACAGACTTTGAGGAATTTATCCGATTCCGGACGGACTTCTCCGAGTACCGGAAGCGAGTCTAGCGGCGTCAGCAGTCTCGCAACGTCCGCCGAATCGGCGTCAGCCGAATTAACGCCGATTTCATCGAGGCCAGAGACTCCCACCAGAGTAACGTGCAGGAATCAGGAGAAGGTAAACATTAGCTCTCGCGCTCGCGTAGATACGAATAAATCAGAATTTCGCATAAAAAGAGACCATAGGAATGCCATATCGAGAAAGAGACGGGAAGAATAAGAAAAACGTTGAGCAAACTGTTTCTTTTAAACTATATGTTTAATTATATTAAAAATATACTCCGTAACGTGTTGTAAAGTCATTGCCATTGGCATTTGACATTTTAATAAAAAGATAGTTTTAAGGATGTGATACACTCATAGTCTCAACATCGAAAACAAAATAGAGATAAAGATATTTTTTTTTTTTTTTCAGATAAATGAACAATATCGCTTGATGTACGAAGGCCGCGATATATTGAATCTGGGAGCGAACATTAGATCGTCGTTCGATTGGCAGATGAGAGATCGAATGTTCTCTCGACACGAGATTCATGATTTTATAAACAATCGCCTGATGTATCATCGATTACGCGAGCAGTCGCATACCAAGGATTCTTCAGTGGTACGTACGATGATACGATAAAAAAAAAATCACCGTGCTCAAAATAAAAGTGTTCCAAGTCCAAGTGTATACAATCAAAAGTTAAATAACAAGTATAATAATTATAAATATATGGAATTTTTTTAATTAAAATATAATCGCAGTTCTGACGATTGAAACTGTCCTTTACAGAAGCGCTGCAACGAATGCGGATTTTGTGAGCCGTCATCCATCTTTTGATATCGACTTAACCGTAACGAGACGATTAACGTCAGCAACGTCCAACGTCCAATGTCGTGGACAACTGAACTGTGATAGACCGAATAAGCGGCAGCCGGATGGAGACGTATCGTAAATAATCGAGGAAACGTATGAAGATATTGAATGTAACATTTAAGGCAGCACCGAAAATACTACGCGATATTCGCAATATGAAACGCGAATATTGAAGCAATTGAAATATTCGCGTAAATTAATAATATAATTTATTATTCGTAAATTTGTGGAAGGTATCTAGAATTTTGATTGATTAAGAGAGTGTACGTTCCCTTGCCGGATACGGGCTGCAGTATTTAGTTATTAGTTCTTCCACGCTGCGAGGTCGTAAGATGTGGTAAAATTATCAATGATAAATTTTGCATGAGAATAAAAATAATTCAGGGTCATTTAATGTCTCTATGTTGTCTAAATTTAGACACCACGTGATTTTACAATCTTTTAATAATACGATGCGAAATTAAATTTTTCCGCTAAAATAATTAAATCTCATCTTACGATATTGTACTCTTATTCTTATTTTCAACTATATAGTGCATATGTATCTAATTGTATTTCGGATAAATGACAATGTCGCGCGAAAAAAGACCGGCGAAAAAAGACCTTAAGAAAGTCCGAACATAGTATCGTGTGACTAAAATCGGCTATTATCGATCGGATCTTTTCGCACGATATGACGATCTGTAAAAAGCTGAAATTGATTTGGAAGAGAGAGAGAGAGAGAGAGAGAGAGAGAGAGAGAAGAGAGACCGCAAATTTACAACTCGCAGTCACGAGAAAAGTTGCATATCATCTGAATGCTCCTATCTTTATGTATTCTTTACACAAAACTCTTATTTTAAAGATGTATATGATCCCCTTTTGTCAAGATTGTCATTATCATCGACAATCGAATATTATTTCTACTTTTTTTTTTTAATTATTAGAGAAATCATAAACAAATGCCGTTACGCTTCATACAGCATCGTTATCGAATGACGTACCGATAGATGTATCGTGTTTCGAATCATCATGAACGACCGGCAATTCTCGAACGGCCGAAAGTCAGTCCCTTACATTTTCGCGGTAAATGTAGTACCTGCTCGTAGGATATAAATATGTATTTCTACGACGGCATTGCATATATATATATATATCTTGACCATTGTTTATAAATACATGATAAACAATATTTTATATATCTCAATGTTGCGTTATTAAATATACTTTTTTTACTTTAAATAATACATTCGCGGGGGAAATGAACTTAGGTATGCACGGCGTTTTCCTCCTCCGTTGTATTTTATATATTCAACTCTTTCATAAAAAAAAAGAGGAGCGCCGCGTCCGCAATCCTTTCTTTCGAGTTAAGAAATTCCACATCATCGCGGTGCAACGTCAGCGGATACCTCCTAGTGGCGATACTTGGAGCCAAGCCGAAGATGAACGCTCGGCGAATTAGCGCGTAAATTCGCGCGCGAAAGGCATTAGTGCCGTTTCACGAGCCGCACAAGGGGGTTGATCGCTCGGACCCTCGTGCTTCTGCATTGTTTCAGCTCGAGCGTAACACCCCAGCGTGGCGCTGTGTGGCCGGTTCGATCCACAATCCCGCCCGAAACACTCACACAACTAACAAGGAAGATCACACTCGGGAGAGACTCGCGTCCCGCGCAGCACGCGCACGTTTCTCCGATTCTCACACCGACACGGCATACATGTATCCAGAAAAAAAAATGGACAAATTATACTTAAACGAGGAGAGAAACGTTTCGCATCTCGTAATTTGAGAAAATCATCAGGCAATACCGATCTCTCTCTCGTATAACGGTATTTTTTCCTACGATGCGATGAGATTACCTTAGACGCGAGCGTATATTATGTGTGTCCATTGCTTATTATAATAATTACAAATTAAATGCTAATATTATACCAAATTGTGTGTGTGTGTGCGCGCGCGCGCGCGCGCGCGTGTGTGTGTGTGTGTGTGTCTCATTCAATGATCGACATTAAAAACGATGTTTCTCGTCTGCCGATTTTTCGCGTTTGGGCCCAATATTTGTTAAATTCGCCACCGATATGTGCGTTTATATCGCTTGCATGTATTCCGCGGGGGTGCGCGGGAACTTTTCAGGCTGCACGCGTGCATGTATGTCGGTGCACGCGCGCGCGTGAAAGCGCCCCGTCCGTGCGTGCACGCGCGGATGCGTGGGTGCGTGCAACGCGCGAGAGATGCGCAGGACGACTATTCAGATATTGTTGTTATTGTTGAGGGAACAATCGCCCGTCAATAGGCCGCCTCGGCACAATGTATCTATTCAGGTGCGGTCAGCGGTGCTCAATCGATCAGGATCCACCCTTTGCGAGCCTCGAAAAAGCACTGCCGTCGTCGGTCTCGCGATCCGCATCGCGGATGTCCCCGCGCGAAGTTTCACTCTTAACTTGAACTTTCCTATACATGATAGAATTGGATATGATTATTTTCTTCGTGTTTCTAGAGACCGAACAGAAGCCATTTTAATTGCGAGTCTTGTACGCTTCTGCTTATGCATAACACATGTTTACATTTTCTAGGAAGAAAAATAAAATAATCAAATTTAGTTAAATTCTATTAAGAACAAATTTATTCACTGGCCAACTGCATTTATTACGAATTATATGCGCTTTCTTGTTGTATATCGAGCGTGTGATCGAGTGTGTATTTTTATAATAATCATTCTTGTCAATGTTTTATATAATTTTTTTAATTATTACATCAAGACTCGAGATATTCGAGATGAGATTGTGTGTGCATAACGCACGATTGACCTAATGCAAGATCACATGGACTCGGAATATTCCTGATCACGTTGGATTGGTGTCGAACCGTGAAATAAGTTTCTGATTAATGATGAATCACGTTGGCATTCAAGATCATATCACGGACGTCTAAACGTTACATCGATATTATTTAACTAAATTTCTTACTTCTGTATTCTTTTCATAAATCGATCATCTCGTAATCTTATATAAGCAGTAACTTTAATTTTAAGAGTAACAAAACACGATATATTGCTCATAGATAAACTCTAAAAAATAGAGTTCCAATTATGCATAATTACCGATTATACTTCCACTTATGCCAATACGATGATCGTCGCTAAAACATACCACGCGATTGAAAGGCGGATTGCGCGCAGGAAGGTGAGTCACTTGTCTTGCAACTATTATTCAATGAGCCAGAGTTTGAGCCGACAAACGGATCGCTCTGTCACGGTGACGTTCTATTGGCTCGCGCATCAAAGGCAACGCTCAAAAGAGGCTCAAGCTGAAGAAAAAGAGGCCGCGGATGAGAACCACTGCCGCGAGCGAGGGTACCAGAGTTCCGCGGCTATAGCGATGATTACGTATGCGGGAATCATTGTCGAGTAACGCGCGATGCACATGCAAAGGCCAAAAATCGTCGAAATCAGTCGAGTTCAACATCAGCATTGTACCTGGGCTTTGTCTCTGCCTCATTGTTGTTGGTCGGTACTCTCTTCCTCCCCCCCCCTCCCTCCCTCTCTCTTTCTCTCTCTTGATGTACAATCTACACGTACGACTGCTATCCCAGGGTGGCTTCCATAGCTGGTCCATTCACGCGATCAGGATCATTCGCTAGTAATTCCTATTCCGCGGACAGGGTCGGTTTAACCCTTTCGTCATTAAGGACGCATACGCGTTGAAAAGAACAAGAGCAGAAATGAATAAAAATATTTTTTATGTATCGTACGTGAAGTTTTTAAATTTGTAAAACGATCTTACGAAATAACAAAATAAAATAATAGACTTAGGATTGCACCAACGTTATTTTGGATTTAAGCGAGACCTAAACATGTGTCTGTCTTTATTCGAAAAGAAAGATAACGACAGATACATGTTTAAGTCTCACTTAAAGTCAACGATAACGTTGGTGCAATCAGGTCTTAGACGTTAAATTTAATTGTATTCGATAAAGTTTCCTCTTGTATCCACACGAGTTTCTTTACGAATGAGGACAGTAGTTTAGCACTCCCATTTCGCCGCCAAATAATTTTCCACTTCGAAACGAATAGCCATTCCACAGAACGCAATATCAACGCAAATGAAGATTAAGCTATATCATAAGATATTCATCGGTCCTGAATGATTTTCGCACGGTGTGTCGCGTTTCTAATTCACTCGCATCGCAATCCTACGCAACACGACGTGCGATCGAAATGAAGGAGGAGGGATCCACACGGTGAATCCGTGTCTGCCTTTTTCCACTGCGCATAATACAGGTGCAGGACAGATAGGACAAGATCTCCGCGATGATATTGGAACGAGAGCGAGCGAGCGAGAGGGGTAACACCACCGGCAGAGCAAGACGAATCCGGCAGAGGAGGAGAGGAGGAGTGAAAAGCAGAGAGAACGAGAGAGAGAGAGAGAGAGAG